TTACAGCTCCGTCGAAACCTTACTATTTAGGGGGAAAGACCACACACATTTGGAATGCGAAGCTTAATTAAAGGGAAAATACAACTTTTGCAAACATCGAAAAATAAAACTACCAAGTTTTTACGAAATACACAACAGGATGTTGGTAAATGACAGTCTAAAGCATCCTGTAAAATTATGGCACCTGGTGTGAAGTCACTTTCAAGAAAATGGTAATTGTGTATACATTTCCAACGGTGGTCGGCCGACCACCGTTGGAAAAACCTAACTATTTTTCAACTACTGCTCCAAATGTATCTTTTTTTTTCCAGTCCAAATTTTGTTTGCTATTGGCTGCATGTTCTGAATGGGTGCAGGCCAGCTAGACTGGTTCCCTTATCGTACAATTTTCCAGCATCTATAAATTAATCCATTTAATCTTCAGTGGAGTCAGGGAACCAGACTACTCGAACATTTTTGTTTTTCTTAGGCTGCATCCGAATCAGTTGTCTAGAGCTAGGTCTAGGTCTGCGCCCATTGAAAATACGCGGGGACGCGTTGACAATAGACGTAGCCGTAGCTCTGGAAGCCCGTTTCGGACACGGCCTTAGTTTTTCCAGCATTTTCCAACACAAAACTTCAAACATGTCAGTGTAACAATAATTTGATATATTATACGAACCCCACAAATAGTTCATTTCTGAAAATTAAAGCAAATGCCAATGATGTACATTCCCTTTAAGGACATACGAAATAAGGATAGGAATTTAGCACATTAAGGAAACACAGAAACTGAACCTTTAAGGAATTAAAAACAAGGAACTTTTGGTGTGTTTTTTTTAGCAATCCTTGTACCTTGCAGTCAATTTTGAATAAATAAGGAAATTTTGGTGAAGAAAGGAAAGTTTCAGATGAAGAAGTCAAACGTTGACAAAAGAATAAACCGCATCACCTTTGCCCTGTTACTATATCGTTTCAATATTAATACGTTTCAGATTCGAAGCAAAGAATTACGATGCCGATAATCTGAGCCCGATCAAACTGCTGAATTCATGCCAGGGAACTCCGACAAACCCCTGTCAAGCTTCGGCACACGACATGTAAGTCGAAAACTGGTAGCCATTTGGCCAAGAAAATATTTTAAAAACCGTATGAAGACCAAAACCCCAGCTTAAACCATCCTCACTAAAATAAAAACCTCCAAACTTTCAATCTGACATGACTTTTAAATTCTAGTGACTAATATCGTATTATAATGCGTGCAAGTTATGATGGGATGTAAAGCTTCCGCTCTCTGCTTCAAGAAGACAAGGCTGTTAACAAAGTCCAGAAGGAAATCTGATTCGTCTCTGTATCTGGTGAGAGACCTGATGAGGTTAAGAATTGGCAGATTGAGGACAAATATCGAAAAAGGGGGAGAGAATGACAACTCAGGGCTACATACGATAGCTCAGTCGGTAGAGCACCAGTATGGTGTTCCGGTGGTGGCAGATTCAAATCTCTCTACAATCTGTTTGCAACTCTTAGCTCAACTGAAATAAATGAAGCCATTTCAATGGCGTTTTAAATTTATAGGCCCCATATAGCCTTAGTTAGAATGAAACACAGTGCAATGACACGGTCAATTGTTCAAGGCTTACAGTTTTGTTGTAGCGGAAGCTTACAAGAAACAAACATCTTTAAACCCATTTGAATGTCCCAGCAAAGTATAATGTGCTATCTTTTGTGTCCTCTAAACGGTTGTTCCAATCACATTTCACAAGAAATTGCCACATTCCTAAGATAATAATGAGGATCCCATAGGTCTTCGTGGGCAGAATACATTATGTGAACATCTATTAACCATTACATGCCCCATACTACAAAAGGCAATCCGTTCGTTTACACAGCGCTTGGCGCATGCACTCAACACAAGATTTTACTGTTTAGCTTCACAGAAAAATGGGCGTGGCGGGGAAAACCATTTTACCCCTCTGGTAAAGATTTATGCGTCCCGTGGCAGTTGAGTTCTTAAAAAGTTTGCTGACGAGACTCGATGATGGCTTTCGGAAATGGGGACCACGTGCACCCTGAAAATGGATCCCTGGTTGTTTTTTTTTATACAGCAGGACTGGGCCGGGAAGGCTATAAATATAGTCAGGGATCGGTGCGACCAAAAAGCTGAGCAAAGCGTGGTCGTGTTGGATGGCGAAATGGGATTATTTTGGTTGATGAAATGTTGAGTCAGTTCTACCACAAACAGAAACAATTTGAAACGTTGCTTTGTCAGGGGCACAACAATTTGCTAAGCTGCGAATGTATTTGCTTAATAAAAATAGGTTATAAGCCAAATAACACTCACGGGATGTATACTGCTTGTGATTGTTGCTATTTTTGCTAACCAGAAAATGTGCTAGGAACGATTGGGGAAATGCCCGCGAAACTTTGATTTGAACGTGATGTACAACTTTTTGCACACATCAACAACAAGACTACGAAACTATTAATATGAAAAGCCAAACTTGACTGTAAGTAAGAAATAGTCTCAAGCATCCTATGAAACTGAAAGCATGACACTTGGTGTGTTTTCATTTTTCAGGTAAAGTGCATGGCATTTTTGTACAATGCATATTGATTTCCAAATCAATTTGGAAAAAAAACCTGACTAGTTAGTCCATATTTTCTTTGCAATCGGTTACACATCCGTGAATGGGTACAAGCCAGTTAGTCTGGTTCCCTGACCTGACAGATTATAAATTGTTTCGCTACGTCTGAAGCGTTGGGTCAGGGAACCAGACTACAAGAACGGCATTTGTTCTTGTTTGCTTTTCCAGCATCCACGAACACAACATTTGAAACAGGTCAGTGTTACCATATTTGCTATAAAATATTGATCCGTCCGTTTCTGAAAATAACAGCCAAAAGCAAATGTTGTTTATTACCTTCAACTTAAGAGATGGGATTGCGAGATTCGAGTCAGTTTCGTATTTCTTTCAGTCTTATGAACAATTTGGTATAGGCCCTAAACTGCAAAATGTCATCGTGACATTGCTCTATTATTCAAATGATATGCATGTAAATGTTTAGAATTTAAGATGTAACCTGTACCTCATAGTCATACTCTTCTTTACTTCTTAATATTAATTTTTTTAAATTTGTTATAATATACATATTTCCAATAGATTTTACCACAATGTCAACACATGGAGTTATACTTATAGCAGATGCGATTACATTCAAGAAAACACGTGAAAGACAGAAAATACGGTCAACTCTGGTGTCGTAAATCCTAAACCAGTTTTTAAACAGTCTCCTTTTTACTGCAAGCTGTTCCCACGTCTTCGAAACATGACAGCAGTATTTTACCTACGGCGCCTACACTGCATCAATGTTCCTCTCGTCTCATGAGGGCCCCGCGTGTTTTGATCGTTAGCATACGCGAGGTGGTACCCCGGCTACGCTACATGAATTGATGGCTTTGTTAAACTGCTCTCATGTCCCTCAGAGAACGAACCGTGCGAGTAGGGAGCATTCACACGTTAAATCACGGGCCGGTGTTTTAAAAAAGTGAATCCTTAATTGGAGCATACAGAGGATTTCTTGCTTTTTATGTGTACATGTCACGGTGTAAATCAAGTATTTTCTATTGTTCCTCATCATCGATCTTTTATACACTTAACTTTTTTTTTGCAACAGCTCCCATTGGTTTGTACACGTTTTCTAATCGAGGACGTCCTCGAGTTGACTCCTGTCCTCAATTACACAAGGATGTTCCTCGTGCGTGTCCTCGATTTACACCATAAATAAACCCATGTAGTATGTGGACAAACACCTCCTAGTTTAATATGGCATTATTTATTTGTTCTGATGTCTTTTGACTCCATATTTCTGTGTTTGTATTTAAAATTGTGTTTGTCTGCCTGTTCTGTTTTATAATCATTCGAATTTTCTTTCTGTATTATTATCTAATTATTTTCTGTATTGTTATCTATCTTTTGTCGTTAATCCTTATTCTACACTGTATTACTGAAAGCCAGCAGATGTTCGGATAGGTCACATCGCTATTGACAGTTTACACTCGTGTTTTTTTTCCCCTGACAGCACTTGTTCACTTTCAATTGTTTGTTACATCTTAAATATATCTTACATGTTTACGTCTAAAAGATTTTAATTAATTATGAAAACATGTATTGCTGTTTTACTTCCCACAAGCTTATAGTATTAACTTATACTAGCACATCCAATTCTTAGCACTGAATTGCGGTTTGTAAATAGGTTGTGCAAAATATTATGATGAAGTGATAGGACTAGTAGTAGGAGGAAACGAATATACCTGTTTTATAAGTTTATGGTAATATCAAAAGTACAAAGTACTAAACGGTTGAGAATTTGCATCTTTCAATAAGTAAAAAGTACACTGCAAAAACTGTGTTCAGCAATTAAACACTTTTCTAGAAACTTTCTTGCTACCAGTTTGTAAACATGTTTACATACATGACATACTAAACATGTTTAGAGTGAGGATGGATAATGTTTAGCAATTGAACGTTGATGTTTAGGAATTGAACACATAATGTTTAGCTCCTAAACATGTTTACAAAGTGATAGCAAAATTGTGTTTAAATTGCTAAACACAGTTTTTAGAGTGTAACTTTATTTGTTAACTTTCATGTCATGTCGTACGACTCCGAGTATACTGTATATGCATGTACAGTGCGTACATGTGCATTTTTATACAAACAGATGAAAGTTGAGCACCATTATATTTTGTGCCATCGTACATCACACACGAATATCATACCGTATATATATCAAACACACGTAAGAATGTGTGTCATGCACGATCATCAATGTGAAATACTGTGCATATCACACAGCAAGTATTTGGCAATAGTATTAAACAGTCCGTATACTTGGTTTACGTACTACACATGTCATCGAAATGCGAAGCCACGGTGAGTAATGCCACGCTGTTGTTTGTATGAATGAATGTGATCATGGAGCTGTTCCTAGCTCCATGATGTGATGCAGTAGCGACTTACCGTTGCTTTCGCAGCAGCAGAGGAAGATGACCTCATATGGCTGAGGCAGAAGGTGCAGATGATCCTCGGCCCTTGCTCGTGGGTCTGCCTGCCCACCATGGCCCGATGCATGCAGGGCTGATCCACCTCCTCATCCCCGACCAGCAGCAGCGTGCCCAGGTGGCTGATGTAGCTCGTGGCCAGCCTGAGGGTCTCGATCTTGGACAGTTTACGGTTCTTGGGCTCGGTCGGGATCAGGTCCCGGAGGGTGGTGAAGGCGGAGTTGACGCTGTGCGTCCGGTGGCGCTCCCTGGCGTTAGCCGCCACCCGCGGCTGCCGGTGGCCGTCACTCCCTGTCTCCCCGTCCCCTTCCTCGTCCTCCAGCAGACTATCCATGCTGGCTTTGGGCTTGCGCCGTCTGCCCTTCGGCCCGTTGTTGTTGTTGTTATTGATGATGTTCTTCTTTCCGTCCTGGTCCGAGCGATCCGTGGAGCAGGAGCTCTCGCTACCCGAGCCCATCTCCTCGCATAGTTCGGCCTCGGCGGCTGCGAAGACCTCTGAGACATCCAGCTTACGCTTCGACATTTCGGCAGCTGATAAAAACAACTCCTTCCTTCACAAATATCAAATTTTCTTTTTACAAATTAGTCAACAAGAGTCCCAGTCAATACCAATGTGGTTACAGTGATGTGCACAAAATAAATGAGGGATGCACAGCTTGTAATGTACATGTACGTTCGTAGCATGCAATGACAATTTAACCATAAGGTATTACGCCAAAACTGAGTCTCTGACAACAAAAGTTTAGGCCAGAATTCGGTCAGTCATGAGCGACACGTTCAGCTCCGTCACATCAATATTTGGCTTGAACTTGGCGGCAAAATAGGCCAGACTATGCCGAGTACTATTTCCCACTCGATCCTGATCCGAAGAGAAAACACCGCCACCGGGCGTACGACGAAGGTTTGATGGGGTCGCTACGCTACAGTAGACGGTAGGTCATCAGCCTCTGCACTGCTCCCCAAACGACATCCTCGGTGAACACTTGCCAAGACTGCGAAGTGGGCAACAACCGGTGTCGATCAGAGCAAGAGACTGCCGTAAACTACCGGCGGTATCTCCGTTTGTAGTTCGGATTTTTTTCGTGCGGCGGCCGTCGCTTGTGCACACTAGTAGTAAATCAGTCCGTACCTCACGGGTCTGATCAGAGCGGCACCGGAGGGAATGACAGTTCACTCACGAATACATCAGTCTGGTTCGGGTGTTGTGTGATGACTAGACTTGGTTCGGGTCGGGGTTTTGGTTTGCTGACGTACCACTGAGGTTAATTTCTCATTGGTCATTGGGTTTGCTCACTGTGTACATCTTAAACTGCTGAGTGAACTACATAAATGTACCGGAGCTTTGCAAAACCACAAACTGTGACCTAACCAGGTCATGGACACCGACCAGGGTTTGTATAACCCGATCACATGCTTTTTGCCACATCTCGACCTCATGAAATAAAGCATAGAGTTCCTTGCTCTATGAATAAAGCACATTTGAAACAACCACGGCGACTTGAATGGCGTCTACGCGGTTACCAGGGTTAATGACATAGGACTGACGTCACGCTCGGAGGCGGGGACCTTCTGTCGATTGCGGGGCACACTGCCGGCTGAACACACACAGTTACTATTGCAGATACATCACCGCATTGACACTCATTAGAAAATTCGAGACAATTCATTTTTTAACGCCAATTTCAATGTTGTCGTGCGGTACGGTGGGCTCATAAACACAAGTACGTGACAATTATTGTGGTGGCTTCAGTTCCTGGTGTGAAAGATCAAAGCTTGTAAGCGTGCAAAAAATAACACTATAACTTCATGAAATTTCTTGGTACTTCGTGTTGACGTCTGTAATAGAGTAGGTACTTATGAGACCGAGTCAGAAACGAGTTCCTCAGAGCTACGGCTACGTCTATTGTATTGCCCCGCGTTGTTGTATTGGTCGAAGACCTTGACAATAGCCATAGACACAACTTTCACACGAAGCCTTAGTTCGGTACTCCTTGAAGTCTGGTTTCCATACGTATAGAAACAGATGTCTGTAAGTTCTGTATACGCAGTGGTACACGCGTCCGTCATAGAACCAGTTTGTGGTAAACTTGCGCAGGTTAACAATAATGATCGATTGATAGACAATCTGCTTTGTGATTTGTCGGTTAACTGTACCAATGTCGGTTAACTGTACCTATATAACTAAGCGTTACTTAAAGTTGAAATGAGAGTAAAGGATTTTAGGTTTAGTTCCTGGCTGTATGCATGTAAACCATTTTTTGTGAGTAAAGATTACCAGTGGATCTGTGTCAAACTATATAATTCATACCATACAGTAATTCCTAGTAGCTTTTTACTGCAACAAAATATCACGTCGGCGATTGCAGACTATTAGTCTGGCCGCGGAAGCGTGTTGGTTACCAAAGTGAAATGTTGCGTAAAGCTCCAGTCGCGATCCCGAGAGACGGGAACCACGACCGGCAATTTATTGAACGAGGATAAAACGGTCCTCACCGATCCCGGCTCGTCATCTATCATGACTAATCCACTTGGTAAATGGCGGTTTATACCTTCAAGTTCAACCTATAGCAAATACTTGTCATTTTCTTCGGAATTGTTTTTTCCTTTCATGAGCGGTTGTTTTCGTCGACTGTTGGCGGAGAATTGTTGATGATCCTCCCGTTAGAGTCTTGACAGAATAGCTTCGGCCGTCGAAACTGATTTCTGGTGACGATTCCCAACGTCTTACCCTTTTTTTACGGGTCGAGCTTCTGTGAGGAAATATTTTAAAAGAGTATCCGGAATTTTTGGTTTGCTAGTTTTTGGTTACCGCGGGGTTCAAGGTGTCGTCGGGCTCTGAGCCCCGATTTCCCCCACGAGACGCGTGCACTTTCCTGCAGGAGGTTAAACCCGGGGAAATGAACACGGTGATCAAGTGGGATATCATGGATTGCCTTTGGTAGTGCTGTCCTTCGTCAAAATGTTTTCAATGCTAGAGCTGTTTGAGGTCACCCACGCTATTTCCAGCTCTGATCTGTGGTTAAATGAGAGTGGTGCTTCGCCAAGTGATTTTCTGTACTGATTTTGAGCTGTTGCGGCATAAGCTGGCCACAGTGGTCTAGATTTGTCTGCTTGGATCGAGGTTGTGAATATGATGCTGACTGCACGGAAATTGCTAACAGGGCGAATTTCATTGAGGTGCGTGCAAAATAACCCCTTGCTTAGCACATGGTCTTGGTAACCAAAAAGCAGCCGGGTACCACTCACATGCGGTCTTCATGCGGCATTTTGGCTGGTAACTGCTTTTGCTACATAAAGAATTGTTTTCCGAGTGATTATTTTGTGTGCTTAAAGAGTATTGAAGGGCCTACCCTTCAAATCTCCTCCCCATTCCAAAAAAATAAATGCACAGCCCCAATAAATGCACCTGAAGCGTGTTTATGTAAATCTAGATGTCACCAGTGAGCTTATTACCTTCATATCCCCTTATTTCTCTTCCAACTATCAAACATTTAACGGTTAAGATAATGCTAGGCCAATATGGCGCCCGCCGGCTACCAGGGAGACACACACTTTGTGAACCAATGCACATTTGGTCACCCGCAATAAAAATTGTACAGTCGACTTGCAATACAATAGAGAGCTATAGTTGTCACAAGGTAGTTACCTGACGTTTCAATTTTTTATGCATGAATCATTGCATTTATTACGTTCATAAATTAATATCTAGGCCCACTTATTTGTTATTCATTTGTATTCTGATCGACTGTCGAAGCAGAAATAGCAACACCGTTCTCAGAACTTCTCATATCACCTTTCATTTCCCATTTCCACTTTTGGTTCCGGTGTGGTCGGTGCCGGGCCAGAACCAGCAGAATGCGAGCAGTTCATGGCTCTACCGGTGCCAGAAAGTCTACAGAAACAGCCCCATCAGCTCACTGCATAATACTCAGAAATATCCTAATCATTGGGACCAGTGTGCGAGACCGGGGTTCCCGTGTACTTTATGACGGTGGACCGAGCACGAACAGAGTCCCTGGACCGTTGAAAGACGCTAGGTATCCAGCCGCCTACACAAGTACCAACACCCATGCTACAGAGTTTCTTCTTGGTGTTGGCTCTGTTTTAAGGATTTGGGTTTCTGTTTCACGAAGGGTCTAGGATTAAGCCTAGGTAGCCGGACTATAGGTCTAAGTTTGTAAACAGTTAAAACTATTGGCTTATGCTTATGGCATAGAGCAAGGACCTTGCTCTATGCTTATGGGGATGATTTGGAAAGAGCTGTTAAGCATGAAATATTGCTTAGCCAATTCATACCATGCTAAGTAAACGTCTACTGGGAACCAATCAGAAACAGTATGCATTCAAGTACTGGCTGGTATCCTGTTTTCTGCCTATCAAGCACTAATTATGTTCTGTGCTGAGTAGTTCCATGGTTCAGAACTCAGATGTTCAGGAATAAGGTTGCAGTGTCCTCTTCCACGGGATGGCTCTCTTCTTTCCCTCTCTGTGTGACCCAGGTTCACGTCCCGCCCTGGACTACAGGTTTGAGTTCCACAGGTTCCCTGTTTCCCACTTATGATGTTTCCAAGGTATTCATGGTCTTCTTTCTACACATTTCTTCAAGCTCTCCGACCCAAACTGGTTTTTTAATATGATAGTATTGATACCTTCAAGAATCCATGGTTCATGGAACCAGATAGATGAAGACAATGATGTTTAGCCTCTGTTCCTGAAATGACATTGACGATTAGCAAGCCTGTATCCTTTTCATGAATTATTTCGTCCGGGCGATATAACTTTTTCTTTGAGGTTTTGCCTTCACCGAAGTTAATAGGTTGATGGAGGGGCAACACCAAATAATATATTATGTCCGTTCGTTGATCCTGTCATTTCTAAAGAAATCCGTGGTTGCGGTGCCCGATTCCCCCGTAAAATTGACCTCAAGCCACGGTAGAAGGACCGACGAACCACAGCAGTCGGTGTGGATGTACTCAGCGGTTGCCGACATTGCCTCAGCCATGTCGGGAAGATGAAAGATGTGATAATTGTCTACAGACCAAAGTTAAGCGAGCGCATTACCACTGTCCACTCATGGAGGAGGCCCCCGCCAATGGCGCAAACGCTGTGCCAGCTATTGTTCAGATAATCCGCCATGGGGTGGTGCTTTGTACAATAGCATGCACAATGCTTTCGCCATTGAAGGGGGCCTATTTGAGTGTACTGTGATACTGTGTACGCATAGTCGATAGCATAGAACAGCACTAAAGTCCGTAGGCGGCCCGAACCTTGAGGCATTACAATGTTCACCAATTATGAGTTAAGAGTTTAGATTTCAGAAATGCTGCGATATTTTACCCGGTGCTGGAATCATGTTTTAATCGAAGTATTAAGGAAAGATCGCCGAGCTTTTGTGTCGCGAAGCCGAATCAATTATCTCGTTACACTTGTCATTGGCATGCTGCGAAATCGAGACGGTCGATTGTTAAAATGCTATAAAGATGAAGTGAGCAAGATTCTCGCATGTCTCGTAAAAAAAAATATATCCTGGAGTTCGTTGACCGGAGAAGATGTGTTGCTATGGTGACGCATTGCAACCATATGTGAGGTTTTGATCATCTCTGTATTGGTAGTGAAGGTCTTTCGTCAGATAGGGCCTACTCGGGTCTTGAACGAACCCGATGTTCTGCTTACGATCTGGGTCTGCAACAAATAAAATGGCAGCCAGATATCTATGTCTCTGACTGACTAATCAGATTGCTCGAAACGTCGAGTTAACCAGATCTTCTTAGAACCACACCAAAACTAAGACACAAAGTGTTATCACACACAATCACGCTCACAGACAATTGCAATAAACTCTTAAGATACGATTTGAAAGTTCTCATGGTAAGATCAAATTCTACCTCCATGGTAAGATCAGCTGAATAAAAGTAAGTAACCGGTCACACCATGAGACAAGGAATCAGTTTTTGTGAGTCTGCGCGGTCCTTCAAAGAACCGGGGGTCAACTCAACATTTCGGACAGGACGCCTTGTCTGTTGTCGAAAGATACTGCCAGTACGGTTAGACTTTAGATCGGGCTTAAATTTGGGAGATTTTTAAGAGAGTATTTGCTCTCACTAAAAGAAACAAGCCGGAAAGCATTGAACAAATAGAAAGCCCCTCATCGTGTACCATACAGTTTG